AACGGAGAGAGGAAAAATCCCGGCGAAAGGGCAAGGCTTTTGTTAGCCAGTTGGAGAGGGGGAGGAAAGAGGAAGAAAAAAAAACACCATGTCTACAGTGAAGAGGCCAAGAGGAAGGGTAAGTGAGCTGCTCTGAGAGCTGGGAGGAGGGACGAGGGGGAGGAGGAGGGGCCGGCAGGAACTGAACAACCTCCTCTGCTACTGGCTCATGCTGCACTGCCGCCATCTTGAACTCATTGCTGCTTTCTCCCCCCTCCCTTCCATACTCATTTGCCTTGCTGTGCTAGACCTTATCAAGGCACTCTAGATTTGGAGCGTTTTCTTCTCCCCACCCCCACTGTCTATTCATTCCCATCCTCCTTTGAACCTCTCTCCAGCCTGTGCTGTATATGGTGTGTGTGTGTGTGTGTGTGTGTGTCCTCCCTGAGTTGAGCCTGTCAGTCACCAGAGAGCTTGAACTACATGTGGAAATGGGGGTAAGAGCGAAGGAAAACCGGCCGGCCCAAATGGAGCTTACTCTACCTTTTCACGGGCTATAATGGTCCCCACCGTTGTCATGGGACTATGTGCTGTTAGAGAGATTGAAATCACCGCATTGCTGGCAGGCTGTAATTTCAGTTATTTATAGATGTATTACATGGCCGCAGTGTTCTCAGTTTTGGTGCTTTTTATCTTTTCTCTTCCTTTCTCTCTCTCTCTCTCTCTCTCTGATAGAAGAGAGCGAAGTTTTATATTTTTCTTCCTCTTGTTACCTCTTTCATGTGCCCTCATGATCTTCCGCTCTTATGCATTACATTCAACCCCTCCCCCTCTGTTTTTCTATCATTAATGTGAATGAGAACCTTCCAGCATGATCCAGTAAATTTCTTCCTAATAGCCTCAGCAGTGTTGCACATGTGAAAATCATAATGCAGCCTGTGTGTGTGTGTGTTTCTCCCCTTCCAAATAAATCTCTAGTTGTTCAACTCCCTCCCCCCACTTTCCTGGTTAGGTTGAAGATAATTCTCTTTATTTAGCTAGCAGTTTGGAAAAAAGAAACTGGCTGTGCTGTGGCCATGTAGGCATATGCAACACATTTTTAGATTAGGTCATCCATTTAAGGGATTCCTCTCTGCCAGGCTCAAGGCCCATCACAGAGAACGTGTGTTGGCATAACCACAGTCACGCCACCTATTATTCCACATATTATCATGTGTCAGGCAAGCTGTATTATTCATGTCTGCAAGACTCGATGTAACCTGCTACATTGAGCTAGTGTTCACTAGGGATGTGCATTAGAATCATTTTTTGAGGTTGAATAATCTAGCAAATTTAAGTCAGTTACACGATTAGTTGTGACATCATTGCCGCAGTTTTATCACAATAACGTGCCCTCAACCCTGACCAAAAACAAAAATATCTGGTTACCTATGACTCCAACGTGAGATATGTCCATGCATTTGTTGTTAATTGCTACTTTCTTGGCTTTCATCAAAGTTTTTTTTAGAAATGTTTTGCTGCTTTCCTCAACATTTTGTGGTGATGTTGTAAATGACTCCTCATTGTGCTGGTAGAACCGTACCTTCATCCCCCATGATGAGCACTCAACTTTGTTGTCTGAGTAAGCAGACGTGTCATAAACATTAATTCCACTTCTTAAATGTCTCTGGGCAGGAACTGTCATAAACATCAGTTTTATTTCTCTACAACATAAATACTTTCTTTTTTCAATATTTAGTGATGTAGACCTTTTCAACTAATCGAACAATCTGTTATTCATGCAGGCAGCACAGCGACCTGGTCGCCTCACAGCAAAAAGGTTCCGGGTTCAAGCCCCGGCCGACTCGGGGCTTTTCTGTGTGGAGTTTGCATGTTCTCCCTGTGCCTGCCTGGATTCTCTCTGGGTACTCTGGCTTCCTCCCACACTCCAAAGACATGCAGCTTAGGTTGATTGGTGACTCTGAATAGCCCATTGCAATGAGTGTGGGTGTGTGTTGGTTGTTTGTCTACGTATCAGTCCTGTGATAGACTGGTGACCTGTCTAGGATGTACCCCGCCTCTCACCCAGTGTCAGCTGGGAGTGGCTCCAGCCCCACCGTGACCCTATTCAGGAATAAATGGTGCAGATAATGGATGGATATAAGAATGAGATTGTTATGTACGCATATTCCTAGTGTTTACCTTACCTCTGAAAATTTTAATCCACCTAAAAGCAATTTATTTGTGTGATGCTCAGAGTTTCAAAGTCCTCTTAACCTGATCTAAATTAATTCCTGGGGAAAAACACTGGCTGTTCTCAGGCTGAAGGTCTGCTGCTAGAGTTGGTTAAGACACAGAGAATTGAAAGAGAACATCAGGTCCACTCTCCACCCCTCAGCATCTGAGATGGGGACAGCAACAAGCTTTGCTGTTTGAGTGGATCACACAAGTGAGTGATTTGTCTAGTGCCAAATCACAACAAAAGTCATCTCAGGACACTTTACAAAGTCAGGTGTAGACCTTACTATTATCAATATTATTACAGAAGGAAAACCCAACAAATCCCCCTTGAGCAGCACTTGGCGACAGTGGGGAGGAAAAACTCCCTTTAATGGAAGAAACCTCAGACAGACCCCGGCTCTTGGTGGGCGGCCTTCTGCTTCGACCAGTTAGGATGAGTGGATAGAGGAGAGACAAAAGAAGAAAAGCAACAGGACACAACAATCAAACACTGGTCAGGTTGATGTGGCTGGTGACTGCTCATCAGAAATATAGAGCTCCAGAGGCAGGGCAACCTGCAGAAAGGTACAGGGAGAGAGAGAGGACACACTACGGGAGAGAGGAGACACACAGTTAGTGATGTGTAACGGTGGCTTATAGATGGATGGAGAGAGGAGAGTAGAGGAGAAAGAAATCTCTTTAGGACTGTGCATGCGCGAGGGATAAACCAAATAGTGACAGCTCTTAGAGGGTGAAGCCTGCGAAATAGAACTTAATCTGATCTTTTTGTTTTGTTTGTCCCTTCTGTGTGAGAGAATCTGCTAAAGCTTATCTTTGTACAACATCAACTTTAGTGACTCAGCTGAGTGTCAACTTTTTGGGGCTTTCCTTCTGTATCACACATTGCAGAGCATCTGAGTGTGGGTTTATGTCATTTGCAACAGATGACATATTTATGAGACATTTGTCTAATACACTATCATTGTTCTAATTACTAATTATCATTACTTTTATTAATTGTGTCTCTTTCTTTTCTTAGCCTCGAAAGAACACTAATGGTCCTGATAGCCAGGTACGGGTCTTCAGTCCCCCAATGAAGAGCAGCTCATCGTCCTCCTCTTCCTCTTCATCTTCATCCTCATCCAGCTCGTCATCAGAGAAGAGGACGCCAAGGAGGACGCATCATCAGATGGAGTCAACTCTGCAGGACAAACAGGAGAAGGCCAATAGGATAATATCAGAAGCTATTGCTAAGGCCCAGCAGCGTGGCGAGAAGAATATCCCCCGAGTTATGAGCCCTGAAAGCTTCCCCAGCTCATCTTCACAGTACAAGACCCACCGTGACCGCGATCACAAAGGAAAAGGCAAGGCACGGCTCAAAGACAAGACCTGCAAGACGGCCTGCATTGTTCCCTCCTCCAAGCCCAAGCAGAAGGCCAAGATTGGGTATGTAGTTGGATTATCCAACAATTAATACTGTTCTGTAAACCACTGCAATGCACTGTCATTAGTTAAAAATAATCCAGCAAGTAGAGCTTTGATCCCTTTTTTTTTTTTAACTCGGTTTAAGTCCAAACCACTGCAACATTTAATGAAAAACACCCTGTCATTGTACCACCGCTCTTTAGGAGATTTTTGCATATTTGACCCAGAGATGGCTGAAATTATTATATTTCATAATCAGTAATTTTCTAAAATGAAATTCACTGTATTAATTTGTTTTAGTTTTATATTACCCGCACTATAGAGAGTGCATGCACAGCCCAAGGAGCCCTTAAACTCAGGTGCTTGGGCAAAAATGTCAATTAAATAAATCAAAAACGGAGGCAGATACCTGCACTCTAGTTTTTTTGGCTGACACACATTTTCAGCAAATGACTGAATAAGATATTTAACTTGTTAGTTGTTTTAATATGTAGATCAAGTAATAATTTTAGTGCTCTTTGGCACTATTTTGTCAGTACTGAAAAAGGTTTGTTTCTTCTGTGCAGACTGTCAAGTCTCTTCACTTCTGCATCCATTTTTCTAGTTAATATGTATAACCTAGGGCAAACCGATAAATGTCACAGCACTGGTAGAAGTGCATGATGTGCTGAATTAACACAATGGCTTGCTCTGATTTAGGTGATAATACTAACATATAAAATTAAACCTGATCCCAGCAAGCTTGAGGGATTTAAAGGGATAGTTGAGATTTTTTTTTTTTTACTGTCATATGTTTTATGTCTGTGATTGCCAAGAAGGAAGCTCAAAGTTCAACAGAATTTACTGCATGCCATAACAGTTAACCAGGCTCAGTCATCAGTACATACACAGTAGGAAGCAAAGGCTGCATTGACATTAAACAGTGCTGCTTGGTATATTGAAGCAAGTAGTGCTGATGTATAGATACCGTAGTGTGCCTCCCATCCCCCTATTTAACTGCTATATGCAGTGTGTAGCTATAAGCCACACCCAGTGCAAGCCACTGAAATATCAGCTGGTGCAGATGTGAGGGCTGAGGCAGAGAGCTTAAGGAAAAACAGAATATTTAAATATGGTAATGTTAGATTGCACAGGCGGAAAAAAAACTCCCAGTGTTATTAATATTAAACCACTAGTAGGCCTGCTGTATTTTAGAGACCTTGTGTAAGAGTGACTGACAATGGTCAACAATAATATCTGGCTGGCAGCTGTGTTGAATAGTAATTAGATGGGCTAGGCAGAGGGAGAGGAGCGGTAGCAGATAATGGATTTTGCTTGGTGTGTGTGTGTGTGTGTGTGTGATAATAAAGAAAGTTGTGGCAGTGCTGCTATTTGGGAGAATAGTGAGATGATGGAGACATCAGTAAAAAAATGATACTTTCCCACTAGGTTTTCAGCCGGATGTACTTGCCTGGTTACACTCACAGTAAATCAGGCCTCTTAGCTGTTTGGTTAACTAAAGGATTGTCGATCTGGTGGCATCAGGGAAGAAGCTCAATTTTGGATATGAAGTTAAAGTTCTGTTTGATCATGCTATTTAACTTTGAACAAAACATGGCTGTGATCGGAAAGCTTAACTCTGGCTTGGTTACTTAGGACAAACCCAGATCTTTTTTTCAAGGTTTTCAGAGGGCTTAGGTGCAGTCTTGATTGAGGGGGGTTGTGGTGGTTGGGGGTTTTGAAATTATTCAAAGGAAATTTTAAGTTGTTTTAGTTTTTTCTCTTTGCTTTGGTTGTTATCCTTACAGTATTTATGGATGACGACTGGTAACACCTATCGTACATATAGTCAGAAATCTAGATTAGTTGACAAAAAAAAAACAAAAATAAAGACATTTTTTTATGTTCATTCAGCTTAAGGTGCACTGCAAAATCACTTAGGTGCTATGCCTAAGTCTTTTAATGGCAGGGAAAACCCTGATTTTCCTCCTAAACACCTTGCATCCATGGAGATAGAGTTGGTAATCAATTCCAATCCAAGACCCCATTGTCTTAAATGGTAGTTCGCAACTGCTGTGTAGGCTGTCATTCAAATATGCCACTGTCATAATAACAGCCCTTGCTGTTAAGAAGCATTTAGCCGTTATCCATTTTTATTTAGCATAACCAACCCTGGCCTAGATGTGGAGGAAGCATCAGATCAGGATGCGTGCAGCACAGCATACTTATGGAGCCAATTATTTTTCAGTCATACTTTTTAAAGCAGTCATGACATCATGGAGTCTAGCCATTTGAAAATGTCAAACTAATTCAGTCTGGTCAGATGACGGGACAGACCAGTTTTCTGCAGGCCACATCCTCTTTATACTTGATTGAAAGTTTAGTTTTTATTAACTTATTTATTTTAGAATAAACCAAATGCTCCGTTTGTTGAGTTTGCTAGCCCCAATTTTGCCGTCCCCGCTAGGCTATTAATTAATCTCTCATGTAAGATCACGAGGAGTCTACACTGGCCTGCAAAAAATGGGACAGGTTACTGTAGAAAGTATGTGCACACTATTACTGTGAGTGATCTGCAGACAGTTATACCGGATATGTTTGATTTCTACAGAAGAAACTAGGTGAAATCTAAATGTGACTGTGTGGTTTGTTTTTCCAATGATCTGAATGTTGTGATACTGAGTTTCTAATCTTTAGTGGATACATGTGTGGTGTAGAATCTTTTCAGTTATTTTAGGGTGTGGCTGTAGTGATCATTTACAGTTGTATCCTATTTTGTGCCCCTCTCTGTCTTAATTGAGAGAAGAAGTTCAAATGTGCAGGCCTTTGGTGCAAATGTGGCAATTATGTATAGCTCTGTCTGTATATGACAAGAGGCTTGTGGGAATGTGTGAATATTTCATCTGATGTGTGAAAATTCATAACTGGCAAATGCTTGCACTAATAGAGATTTTGCTTTCCCACTAATTAGAAACTGCACAATGAAGAACAGACATTTTGGAGAAAATTTTTCAGAAGCACTGTTGCTTTATAATAAACCTCGGGAGTTAAATAACCAAGATACATTTGAGTCTTGATGATTGTGTGCTGATGTGTAAAAACCTCCACTTTCAGGATTGTAATGCTGATTTCCCTTTTTATTACACTGCAAACGATCAGTTATAACAAAATTAAGTTTTAAACCTGTGTTTCTTGTGTTTATAACCAGCAAGTCTAGTTTCACCGAGGCAGGTATGCCTAGGCTTTGAATCATGAGAAGTTATTACATGATCAGTCACAAGCATAAAGCCCTGTAAAGTAAACAGAGAAAAACAACAATACTACCATATTGACCTGAACACCCTGACCAGATTATACTCCCTCTTTTTCAAAATATCGTTTTGGACCTATTTATGCACCTAAAAAAATGTAAAAATTAACATCATTAAAATTGATCATCACTTTTAAAATAAAAATGCAATACACGCATAACAAAGCAGATAACTCCAGTAGGTGAGACTGAGCTGACTAGTACATAGACTGTATATCATGGATTAAAATTACTTGAAGGAAATTCTAACTTAACTACATTAGCATTATCTTTAGGGCTGCATTCTGCTATTTCTGTTTGTACCAGAGAGAGAATATACTTGGCCAGTAGATTTCTGATTGCGATTCTGATAGCTATTCACAAGAATTACACACCAAAAAAATGATAGCCTACCTTGTGTACTCTTGTGGAGGCAGCTAAAAGTCCCCCTTTGCCCATCTGGCAGTACTTTGGGTAAAAAAAAAAAATGCTATTGAAAGTGCAGGATTTGTTTTTGTGTAATATAATATAAGAAATGACAGGCAATGGATTTTCATAACCATTTGCGTGTACACCATCCCGCAGAATATGCTACATTTCCATCGCTGATGTGAGTTCAGCTGATGCTTTTACCAGTGAAGATGTTTCACTCTGTTAGTTGTTGGAACGACAGAGAAGCCCTCAGTTCACTGTGATTATTCAGTGGTGTTACAGAGCGATGCCTCTTTACCTCATAAACGGTCTTCGACTAACAGCAGACAGCCTGTTTTTTGTTTCTCCAACAGCTGCGGTGAGGTCACAAACCTGACAACAACAAGTTCCATTTTATCCTGTCATCAATTACAGTCACAGAGTTCATGTTTGTGTATGTAGCACATGAGAGTCACAAGCTGGGCCATTTCATTTTGAGATCAAGTCACCTCTCCATTATTTTTCAGCAGACATAACTCACCATTGATGTATGTTGCCTTTTTAAATTCATTCAACTTAGGTGCTCTGCAAACACTTGGGCACTGTGCCTATATACCTTACTATGGTAGGGAAAACCCTGGTAATAAATTTTAGGGCAGCCCCCTGCAATAGAGTGTCTGCTGTTGTGTAATTGTAATTATGATTATAAGATGATCTTGTCTTTTTAGTGTAATGTCCAAAAAGATTTGAGCCAATGCACTCGCATTAAGACTGTGTGTTTACTGCACTGTGGTTCAACCTGCATCCTCGGACTGCATCTCCATGTTCTGTTTACCTGTCGTTTACTGCACTGTGGTTCAAACTGCATCTCCATGTTCTGTTTACCTGTCATGGCCATCTCAACATTAATGCCAGTACCAATGTCTGGGAGTGGAGATGAAGTTTGACAAAGTCAGTGATGGAGTGCTGGCAGTGTGCTGACTCATCTGGTTTGGCTTGTACCTCAGTGCATTAGGCTTGAACCACTTGGCGTGTTTGCTTGTCTGCATATATGTTGTTGGAATGAACAGCGGGGGTAGTGTTTTTATTGCTAGTGTGGATTGATGGAGGCGGCCTGCGCACATGATGACAAGATGCTCTGTCGAGATATTCATACCAGTGGAGAGTCCTGTCCATAGCCAAGCATCACCCAGGATCTCCCTGTGAAATATTAATGCATCTCAGTTGCAGAGATACTAACCTTCCACTAAAGCCATTACTTCAGCCTCCACTTCGTTGAAAGTGTGTGCAGCATTGTGTGTGTATTTGGTGTTCAGTGTATTTCACTCTTATATTGTATCAG